TGTATGGAGAGCAGAAGAGCCAATAATTGTTTTGGGGAGTTGATGGTAAGATGAATTGATGTAAACATTTAATAATACAATACAATGTTGGCTATGTAATAGTATACATGTGATTGTATGCTATGAAAATGAAAAAATAAAAAACTTTATATACAAAAAAAAGTTTCTGGAGGCAGTTGGTGCAGTGATGTGGCATCACTTTCTTCTGGAATAGCTTTTCAACTTTCTGTCAGTCTCCCATTCAAATACTAGCCAGGGTTGAGCCTGCTTAGCTTCCAAATCCAGAGATGGAACTGACATCTGCTGATACATAGAAAGTGATAAATCTTATACACAAACACATATTTTATTGCATCAGACTATGGTTACTGGGCTACACCTTAAAATGGAGCATGTTGATAAATGCTCCCAGATTATTTCAACAATGATTTGTCAAATTCAAAATTTAAGCAAATAATATCTACTGACCTCACTTTTGGAGTTGCTAACAGCCAAGCTGGTAACATTTCCTCTGAAAAGATATTTCAGTCATGTCCTTTTGCTCCAAACTGATTAATCCAAATGAAACCTGTCAAAGCAAGGAGAGCATAGATATACTTCATCTTGCCAAAAGAAGCAAAAGGTTTATAAGTGCTTTCTGCTTTTCAGCACACAAATGGTTTCGGACTTCATTGTATTACAGCCTAACATTTTATCTTTATTTATAAGAAAAACAAGTAGAATTGAAGGTCACCAAAAACATTATAGTCTATTGTTTCCATTTTGTCCCAAACTGGTTGTTTTCTTCTGCTACATTTCTCACATTCCTAATTGAAGATGATTGTATGAGGGGGGGAAAGCTATTTGCGAAAGCACCTGAAGACCAGACAAGAAATAATGGATGGAAACTGAACAAGGAGAGATTCAACCTAGAAATAAGGATAATTTTTCAGACAGTGAGAACAATCAACCAGTGGAACAGAAGTTGCCTTCAGAAGTTGTGGGAGCTTCATCCTTGGAAGAGACTAGACTGCCATCTGTCAGATATTGGTATAGGGTCTCCTGCTTGGGGGGGGGGGGTTAGTTGACCTACAAGGTCCCTCTCAACTCTGTTAATCTGTTAAAGACTACATATTTAACATAGCATATTGTGGAAGTACATAATTGTTAATTCATGAGTTTGAACAGTTTTAAGTAAATGTTTTAATATCAGAGCCTTTAAATATTATTTTAATTTGTATTAATAAAATTGTTTTACATACTTTTTAAATGGTTTGCAGTGACTTTGCTGTTTCTCAGTTAAGCACTAAGATTTTTCTTGGAAATCCTCTTTAGAAGAATGCACATAAGGACATCCAAAAATAATTGTCTTAAAGTTGAAAACTGATTATTTTTAAATTATGAAATGCCTCCTAATTAGCCAATTAAAACAGAGTACAAGTAACCCTCAACTTACATTCATTTGTTTAGTGACCATTCAAAGTTACAACAGCACTGAAAAAAAGTTACTTACAACCATCACAGCATCCCTAGTCACATGATCAAAATTCAGGCACTTGGCAATTAGCATGCATTTATGATGGTTGCAGCATGCTGGGATCATGTAATTGCCATTTGAGAACTTCTCGGCTGGCTTGAATGAAACATGCAAAGTTAATGGTGGAAGCTGGATTTGCTTAACCATATAATCCATTTAACAACAACTGCAGTTATTCACATAACAATAATGCCAAAAAAGATAGTAAAACTTAAATCTGGGCTACTTCCTTGGCAATGGAAATTCTAGTCTCAATTGTGGTCAAGGACTACAGACAAGGGAGGAATGATGACCCTTAAATCAACTTCAGAAGTTGTTTGCATTGAAAACTAGTTTGCCTTGTAGTCAGTTACCAACACATCAGGATTATAATTTTACTAATAGGAATAAAATCAGTTATTATTCATAAAGGCTTCCCTCGAATAACACTGTGCAACAAGAAACAAAAAATTATTAAGCAATATTAAGGCACCTCCTGAAATTGTTAAATGATGCTGAACAGTTTCTAAGACACTAGAGAGGCACACAAACTTTAAAAATAAAGTAAACTATCCCTTCATTCGCCATTCGGTTTGGAAATACCATATTTTTCGGAGTATAAGACGCTCCGGAGTATAAGACGCACTTTAGTTTTGGGGGAGGAAAATTAAGAAGAAAAAAAATTCTGCCTTTGCCTACCAGTATCCACGGTATTCAGCTGACACATGGTAACAAGGGCAGCCAATGAATAGACATAGCTACTAAGTCAGCCAATTATAACTATTTGGACTCAGAAATTTGCTGTGTGAGCAACAAGAAGACAGGAAGAAGCCTGGCTCAGCCAAGAACTAAAAGTGAAACTGCTTGTGTTTTGCTTGTATTTACTGCTACCTTGGAAAACCTGCTTTTGGTAATGTGTTGTATATTATTATTATTTTGAATACTGCTGAATCAGTTACTTGTGTGCGCTTTCTGAATGTAGTTACTGTTGCAAACTCTGACCAGCCAGGTCAGCTTTAGCACTTATTGCAGTCTGATTCAGCACAGCTGATTGGCGGGTGGATCTGACTGCAGGAATACCCCCAATCAGCTGTTCCAGGCTGCAGGGATTGCCACAGGCCATTGCTGCTTCCATGCCTCACATTTTTGGGTGGGGAGTTATATTCGATGTATAAGATGCACCCAAATTTTCATCCCCTTTTGGGGGGGCAGAAAGGTGCGTCTTATATTCTGAAAAATAAGGTACTATTTTCCTGCTTCAGTTAAGTCTTGTCCAGAGTAACAACTAGATGTGGTATTTACACCAAGGTCATACATTCCATAACTGCATCTCTGCCCTTTCAGACTTGTCTGCTCAACTCCAGGAATTTCAATAGTTCCTAGCCACCCAGAATGTCCTACTCTCACCCAAACTAATAATAGGAGACAATGCTTCTCAACCTTTGCAACCTGAAGATGTATAGACTTCAAGAATTCTCCAGCCAGCTTTGACAGCTATGAATTTTCAGATTTGAGGTCCACATATCTTCAAGCTGCAACAGTTGAGAAACCCTGGTACATAGTAAGAAATGGAGCAATGATGAACTAAGCTGCTGAACAAGCATTTAATATTTACCATAAATTGCAGAACACAACATGATTTTATGCCCTTAGGAGTCTGGCTACTCAGAAAAACAATCATGCAAAAAGGAGATTGAAAATTATTCATCAGCCAATTAATCGTATATATTTTAAAGCATTAGAATAGAACAGAGCTGGAAGGGACCTTGGTGGTCTTCTAGTCCAGCTCCCTGCTCAAGCAGGAGAAACCATACCATCTCAGACAAGTTCTTCTTAAAAACCCCAGTGATGGAGCGCCAACATTTTCTGGAGGCAAGCTGTTCCATTGGTCAATTGTCCACAATGTTAGAAGGTTTCTCCTTAATTCGAGGTTGCCTTTCTCTTTAATTAGTTTCCAACCATTATTTCTTGTTCTGCCCTCTGGTGCTTTGGAGAATAATTTGATCCTCCCCTCTTCTTTGTGGCAGCCCCTCAAATACTGGAACACTGCTACCATGTCACCCCTAACACCATTAAACAGAGATCTAAATAGGAACTCTGCAATCCGGAAGTATATTTTAGGAAAGGATAAAAATAATAAATGCCAGGGCTAGCTAAATTTTCTGCTTTGTGTTCAAGAAATTGGCATTAGCAGCCAAGGACAGAGTAAAGCAGATTTGCTTAGCTCCTTCTGAAGTTAATCAACTTCAGCCGTAATCACCCTTACTACCATGTTACCAACTTCACTATGGTTATTTTGGTTTATTCAACTAACTCAGTTGTTGTAGAATATATAGCACCATAAACCATGGCAATATACATTATAAGCTAACACCTAGTGGAAAGGTTTACAGACATTTTGAAGCCAAAGTGCAGTTGTATAATTTGGAGGTTAGGTGCGTGATGGAAACACAGCCAGTGAATTGCAAAGAGGGAAACTATAAAAATAACATTCTAGGTAGTTAGTTATCATCATCGGGGTTATGATTGACTTTTTGAGTAGTCAGCTCTCAAGACATGACCAAAGTATGATAACTTCTGTTTGATGATCTTGGCTTCAAGTGATATGTTTGGTGAGATTCTTTGTATGTTATTTTTGCAGTCCATGGAATGCATAATTGTCACCCCAGCACCACATTTCAAAAGTATCCATCATTCTCCTATCTACTTTTTTCAAAGTCCATGTTTCACAGCCATAAGTAGCAATTGGAAAAAATATTGAGTTAACTAATCTGCATTTGGCTGTGACGCTGATGTCTTTACTCTTCCAGATATTATTTATGCCAGACATTGCAATTCTTCCAAGTGCCTTCTGGTCTCAGGTACATTCATCTTAATTACTGAAATTCTTCCCATCATTGACAAATCTGGTTTTTCCTATCTATTTAAATGCAACTTTATCTCCCTCCATATTTTAACATAATTGTTTTTATTTATTTTTATTTCAGACTATACCAATATTGATTAAAGGTTCTTTTTTTAAACAATGGCAGAAAGATATATAACTAAATTTATTTGGCAAAACAAAAAACCAAGAATTAAATATAAGCTTTTACAGGATGCTAAAAAAAGGAGAGACCTAGATTTAGATTATATTATGATGTTGTTGTTTGGTATGGTTAAAAGATTAGATAACTTTGAAAAGCTCAAGGTTGTTAGATCTTGAAGGTTCTGATTTGAGATTTGGCATGCTTACTTCTAGTAAAGCAAAGGAAGAAACCATGAAGATGAGGCTTTTTTCCAATCAGAAAATCTTTGCTTTCTTGGACTGGTCAAGATAAAACTAGACAACTGTTATCCCCCCCAACCCCAGCTTCCAAACTAAAAAGAAGATAAAAGTAAAAACTTAATAAATATTTATTATTAGTATTAAAAATGAATCTTTATACAACAGAGTTCACAAACAACGGACATTCCCATAGCATTTTTTAAAATCATTTGTGTTCCTCTGCATCATGATGTAATTCTTTCCAATGATGTCTTTTTTGATTTAACAGATAATTGGGAATAATAGACACTATCATCACCTCCTCCATTTGGTCTTGAATTTTTACAATAATATGAATATTGGTCAGCAGATTAGGGAAGACTATTCAGCATAGGAGCTTCATTTTATATGGAAATGGCTCCCTTAACGATATACAGGTAGTCGTCAACTTACAACAGTTCATTTAGTGACTGTTCAAAGTTACAAAGGTGCTGAAAAACGGGACTTATGACCAATTTCCCAATTGCAACATTGCAGTATCCCTGTAGTTACATGATCAAAATTCAGATGCTTGGCAATTGGTTCATGTTTATGATCACTGTTATGTCCCAACATCATGTGATTCCTTTTGGCGACCTTCTGACAAGCAAAGTCAGTGGGAAACCAAATTCACTTAACAACTGTTACTAAATTAACAGCTGCAAGTGGTTCACTTAACAACTGCGGCAAGAAAAGTTGTAAAGCAAGACAAAACACATTTAACAAATGTTTCCCTTAAATTTTGGGCTCAATTGTGGTTGTAAGTCAAGGACTAGCTGTACTGGGTGTATACTCATGCTCTGTTAATATAGCACTTAATCAGGGATATGGGGCAAAGGAGATGGTCAAAATCTGCAAGATGGCAGGCACAGCATTGTGATCAAACCCTGAACGTACGCAAAACGTATGAGGCTTCAACAGTGACTATCCTGTTGATGTTGCAACAGATCTAATAGCCCTTCTACACATTGGATCACTTGAAGTGGAGACTGTGGGTCACATACTCCTTTGATGTTTCTTTTACACAGAAATTCGAAGAAACATATCTTTCCAATAATTGCTAGGTATCTTTGCTGTTCCAACACAGTCAAAAATTACAGCACAGGTGGCTAGATTCTGTGCATCAGCATTGGGGATTTGTAGCACACATTTTTCAAACCCACCATAGCTATTTTATACAACAAATGTGCAGATCCTTTGCACTGCTTAGTCCTTTCCCTTTTAGTAATAAACTGATTACGGGCCACACAGTTTATGGATTGTGATGCTAGTATAGTTAGGCCATGTATAATTGACAGACTGGATTTTATTACAGATTTTATCTGTAATTTATTATTTTATTCTAGAATTTTTAATTGTATATTTATTGAGTGTTTTTATTTGTTCTGGTCTGACTGTAATAAAAATTCTGAAATCTGGATCATTTCTCTGTGTTTAAGTTTGAAGCGCTTCATATTAACAATCAGGTATCAGGATTTATTAAAATCATTTTCATAAAGTGAAGATATGGCAAATAACCACTCTAAAAATCAGCCATTTTTAGTGAAGTTACACAACACTTCTCGTGTTTTGAGCTAAAGTCTCTCCAGTGCGAATGCAGGGAAAAACTTTGGCAGGCTACTTTACGCACATATGCTGTGTGAATGATGAAACTGCTTATTTCAAGGAGGCGAGAGCTGGCTACAGGTCCCTGGCAAAACCCATTGTTGTAGTCCTGTATTTGATCAAGAAGTGCAATATTGATTGCACAATTTCCACACCTGGTCCACTACAAGCCATTAACAAGCATGACCAAGGTTATTCGCATATTGAATTCTGGCCTGAAACTTGGTTGAAAGGGATCTAGATTCATCTGGACAACTTTCTCTATAAAGGGAAGGTTGGAAACACTGTCCAATCCACTGCATGGACCCAACTATGATTCTCCTTCCTGGCCACCTAACAATCCTGGAACAATCCTAGGTGCAACAAACCAGTGGCCAAACTAAAGCACAGAGAACCCTGTCCACTTCTTTATGAGTTGCTGCCTCAAACTCATTCCAGACCCTAAGACTAGACTTGTTTTTCTTGACAACACCTGTGAAGTAAGCTGGATTGAGAAGGAGGGATATTTCCAGTCTCACACCTAACCATCTACAGCTCAAATTTGTCTGCAGTTGTGAAAACAGAAGCATTTATGTCTCAATACATGTTACATTCACACATTCAGCCTACCCAGGTCAACGATAAAACTGGGGGCCCGTTTGCAGAGTCACAGTAAGCTAATTAGTGCTAACTCTGGTTTTCTTGAGGGAGAGTAGCTTTGCAAACCCAGCCCCTTCGCTCACTCTATGGATCACTACGACGCACAGATCCAGAAGAGGGTTAATTGTACAACTAAGTTAAACACAGCTCTCGCTTGAAAGGTGAACAAGGGAGCAAATGAGATATTTCTAATCATGGAATTCATGCACACCTGAATCTACATAATTTTACAGGGCATAAATCGCCGGTGTGCGTGCGCGCGTAATTCGTGTCTTCTCTCACCTTTTTGTTTAAAAAGATTTGCCCTTCCCTCTGAGCCAAGCCCCCACGCACTCCGGTCAAGCCCAGCAGCCTTTCCCCAAGGTGGGATGGGAAGGTGCCGTGGCTGTATCCCCCCGCGCGGCTTTCCCCGTTCCAGCTGCACTGGAGAAACGCCCCTCCGAATGAAACGCTCGCGTAGAATCCGTGCTCTCCCTCGGTGAGCGGCTCTGCAATCCAGCGCCCGCGGGATCCCTTGAACGTTTCCCGGAAAGCGAGCGCTTCCTCGCGAGTAACCCAGCGGAGCCGCGCCCCCCCATCCCCCGGGCATCCGCAGCTCCGAGCACGCCCACCGCTGGATCCTATCTGTCTCAAGACTTCGCCGCTCCTACTCCGGGAGCGGGGCCGAAGCCCACCTTGGCACTCACCCACCGATGACCTCCGCCACCGCTTGGCTCGCTTCGGCTCCTCTCCGCGCGCAGCAACAACTGGGCGGCAGCTCAGCCGCACGCACTCAGCTTGTCTGCGGCCGACTCCTTAGTGCACGCCTGCCCCACGCGCCTGAGAAAAGCGGGTTTGGACAGGGCCGGACGAAGCTACACCCACCAATCCACCGGTGCCGGCTGGGTCGGGACAGCGGGCTCAGTTGGGGGATCCGTTGCGAGATTCCGACGCCATTGCCACCGTCGCTCGCACAGCAACCGGGAGGAATCGGTCGGGTAGCTCCAGCCGGTCCCGGGGGCCTGGAGCAGTGTGAGCGAAGAGGCAGGGGCTCTGCCCTACGGAGTGGGCACGGTGACCAACCCAGGCTCTGCCCCGCGGCGGCTGAGCGACTGGATTGCGGCTCAGGGGAGCTCAACGAGCGGGGAGGTTCCCAAGGTGCGGGCGGAGGCGGAGATGTGGGCGAACCCAGCTGGCAAAGTAGGATGCTACTCTGGCGCGCAAAGCAGGGCTAGGGCTGAGTGTGAACCCTTAATTAAACCGCGACTTGGTGAGATGCCGTTGGTCTCACATACACTACACACCCCAGGGAGGAGGCTGAAACCACAGAGGCTCCTGTCGCCTTCCCTTGGCTCTATTCGAACAATCCATCCACCCTCTTTAATAGGAGAAACAGCAGTTTTGCTGCTCCTAACCTGGTCTATGCCCGACTGAGCAGATAAAGGAGTCAAAAGTCATTTGATTACTGGAAGTGAAGGAAGTGGCCAAAGGACATCAGTCCAAGATCTAGAGGAGAGCTTCTGCAAAGTCTTCAGATAGGACAGTTAAGCGTTTTCCAGCAGCTCCTGAAGCACAGAAATACTGTAGAATTAAGGCAGAACAGAGCTTCACAACTTCTGAGCTCCCTGGATGATTGGAATTTGAAATGTGCCTTCACAAAATAGCTGAAAAATGGTAGCTCTTAGAGTCCCCTTGAAAAAGAGGGAGCTGAAGGTGGTGGTTTCTTTGCAACAGGCAAACACAAACACACACACACACACACACACACACACAC